GAGACTTAGAAGTCCCAAGACCTGTAGTTAAGCAAGATGGAGACTCAGGAGAGCTCATGGTATTATTCCAGTCCCAAAGACAGAAGACTTGAGACCCATGAAGAACTGATGTTTGAATTCAAGTTCACAGGCAGGAAAAGACCTGTTTCCTAGTTTAAGCAGTCAGGAAGGAGAAAACTCCCTCTTACACATGGGAGAGTGGACCTTTTTGTTCTGTTCGGTCCTTCAACTGATCAGATGAGGCCCACCCACCTCAGGATGGACAATCTGTTTTACTCAGTCTGTGGATTCAAATGTTATTTTCACCCAAAACTACTCTCCTGGACACACCCTTGTCTGAGCACCCTGTGGCCCAAATTGACACATAAAATTATCACAGCCATTATGGACTTAGCAATTAACCACTCCCTGAGAGTACCTAATATCCTGTCTATATTCATATCTCCCAAACATACTTTATAGAATAGTTTCTTCACATTCACCTCCAATGAAAGACCAACAGTTGCATTTGGTTGTTGCCCATGCCCTTTTGAGAAGCCCAGCAGCCAGGGTCAGTGATTCCCACAGGTCAGGGGGAGGAGGAATGGGCAGGTGGGGTGGGGGGAGATGTTTGGATGTGGAGTTTGGCTGCAATCTGAAAAGATAATTATTCATTACTGAGAACAAGCAAATGTGAAGCATCATAACACTCAAGGATTCATCCCTGGTAATTTATGGGCCCCAGTCATTGAGCACTTATATCTCTAAGTGCTTTACATCGTTAATTAGATACACCCTGGAAACCCAGTAAGGGTGAGTCAGCACGGCCAGAGTTACCTCCAGCAAAGTGTGAGGTGCTAAAGCTGCCCACTCAAGGTCACTGAGCAGGTCTGGGTCTCTGTGTTAGTCCTGACCCCCCAAATAGTCCCAGTGTCCTCACCAAGGGTAGGAGGCAAAGCCCAGCCAGAGAGGGCCAGACCACCCACTTGGCCTAGGTCCAGCTAGGTCTGAGGCACAGACCCACTATGGATCTAGCTTCCCCCTATAGGGAGGGCTGGCAGGAGGCAGCTGAGAGCACTCAGGGGCAAACCTGCTCATGGGCAAATCAGCTCATGGGCAGGACACCAAATATAAATTATGCATTAAGGAAGTTTGCTCAAATTCCAGGTATATACTTTCCCAAAGTAAAAGATCCTTTTGTTATGTGAATGATTTTTCCCTGGAGTATCAGGTGTCTTAAGAAGTGGGTTTTCTGAAAATGACCCTATCAGCTGATGGATCCTTTGGTTCCAAGACTCTGCCTCACCACATGTGACCTGCCTGCCTAAGTCTTAGTTTCCTCATTGATAAAATAGGAATTATAACAGTGTCTACCTTAAAGGGTCATGATGATTATATAAGGTAATGCTGAACTTAGCAGCTAGCATGTCAAAAACAATAAACATTGGTTAGATTTATCAATATCATTTCATTGTTGTGTACTGATCAAATCAACAATATAGAATTTAGCTCAGGTCCAAGACCTCCTATAGCACCCACCCCCCCACAAGACTTGCTAAAATTGGAAGAATTCTGAAGGGTATGATGACTATAAGTTTGGGTTCCTGGTGGGGTGGGGATGTCAGGAAAGCTCAGAGCTTGGGGCTGATCATTGTCCATCACAAAGATAAGAAAAGTGCCAAGCTCATGTGTTATCAGAGCATTATCTGGGGTGAAACTGTGACAGGCTAGCCCAGGGTGAGGCTTGGCCATGTTATTTAACCCCCCTGGAGCCTGAGTATGCTTATCTGCCAGATGCGGATAATAGTGTTCACCTCAGTACAGTGGGTCAAAGTGGGATTGAGTGGATAAGGTGTCCTGGAAGGGGCACTCGTGGTGCTAACCTGAGTCCCGATACTCCTCAAGAGGCAGCGAGTGATGGAGGCTGCCGCCACCAGGAGTGAGAGAGCTGTAAGGTCCAGCAACTCCCCAAGTCCAGGGCCCATCTGGACATTGCTGCCCCCCTCCTTTTGGGTCAGGAGTAGAAGACCTCTCGGAATGCCCTCCCTCTAGGCAAGTGGACCTGTGGTTCTCCTTGCCCCCGGCTGCACAGGCACCCCCGAGGAGCAGCTCTGAGTGCACCTGCTTGGAATTCACAGATGCTTCTCTACGCCCCCTGCTACTGCCATTTATTTTTCAAAGGGATGACCCAACAAAGTGACTGCTGTTCCAGTCGGGACAGCTCTGTTGTAGTCTGCAGTCAAGCACGGCCTCTGTGGGTCTGTTACTCTCCTTATCTCTTGCTCAGCTTCGCCACTGAATATTTATAAAGGCTCCCCTGGCAGGTCCCTGCCCCTGTGAAGTGGATATTTTTCCTAAGAAAGGGGGCTCTGTCTTGTTCCTGGAGTCTTTGTGTGAAGCTGTGCTTCCACTTGGTTCCACTCATGCTGTTGGCACTCTGGGTGCTTTTCTTTCCCCTTGGAGAACAATATTAATTGCATTACCTTTTATCTAGAGACACGTTTTGACTATAGTCTAGAAAGTTTAATTGTGGAATAGAGGGTCATGAAGCTTGGCTAGGCCTTGGTAGTCTATGAAATGACTCCTTGCCCCGAGGAAACTTCAAGCACATTCTGGGGCAGAGGAAATCAGATGGGGAGCCTGGAAAATGCTTCTGTGCACATACATGGCGTGGAGATGCTGCTACTGAAGAGGCTGGGGCCATCCATCCCCAGTGTGGAGATGGAGTCCCAGCCTGGAGCTGTGGATAGTGGCTGTCAGGCCTCCAACCTTGCTCTTGCAAATCAGCATTGTGGGAAGGGCCATCAAACTCACCACGAAGCCTCCTGCTCTCATCTTTCCACCTCCCCAGAAGTGTCCCTCCAAAGTGCTCAGCTGTTCTGGCTCAAACAACCCTTTCTTTGAACCTTTTATCCCCTGAAATGCTGTCTCTGGGTAAAGCACCTGGGGAAGGATTGTGCCTGGTACACTACTCTGTCCAGCTGCTCGCAGAAAGTCCCGGTGCCCTGGGACCTCATGGGCCTATAGTAAGCAGAGGCCAAGCTAGGATATGGGATAGCAGGTCTTGCTTCTGCCTGGCTGGGATGTGTGTGTGCAGATAGCCTCAAGCCTCAGAAGAGCTTCCTCATCTACATGACTGCAGGTTACTTTGCTGGGGAAAGAGGATGGTGAGGGACTATTATGCAACACACTCCCAGCTGCCCCCTCCGCCCATGTCCCAAATACCTACCAAGTGGGATGCAGTGGATGCCTAGGCTTACAGGCCAAACCCAAGCCTGGTGGTTGGGATGCTCAACTTCCCCCAAAGGGGCTGGTTTCAGAGCTGTACAGATAGGGGTGTGTTTCTGAGTACCAGTGCCCCACATCCCTGCAGCAGACTCCAAACTGTACTCTCCCAAATCAGAAGCAGTAGCACTGCGACTGTCATCACATTTTGTTATTCTCTGCCTGCATTTACATAACATTTCTGCAAAGTGCTTTATAATCATTTCATTAGTCGTTCATTTGCTTAATTGCGTAGCCTTCAATTCAGTTAGAAAATCTGATTTTAAATTCAAGTTTCCATAGCCACAAGTTTTAAATCAGAAAACTTTTTGTTTTCAATGTTTAGAAGGTGGAAATATTTCCACAATTTGAGCCTCAACACGCCAGCAGCGACTGGTTCTGTAGTAGTGAGTGAATAAAAATGGCTGCAATCATTTTGAGATCTCATTAGAATGACAGACCAACCCTGCCCCCCGCGGTGAAACAGGGAGAGGCCTGCATGGTAAAGTTCAGTTGCTAAAGGAGCCTCACAGGAGCCCAGATCACCCTGCTGAGAACCTGCGGTTTATTGCAGGACAACACTGCATAGTTATAAAAGTGGTACAAAAAGACCTTTCACTGCGGTCTGGAGAGGCCGGCCTTGAGCGTGGCTCTCCTTTCTTGTGCACAGAAATCCTTGATGCGCTCCCTCTCTTGGACCAATGTAAGATAAGGTAAAAAAGTATCACGCTTTTCTGCCCTCCCGCCATTACGATTGATGATGGATCCTTTCGGTCCTGAATGCATGCCTGATGGCGGGCACCTGGAGTGGGGTGTGGGCATGCATAAGCGGGTACACCTGGGCTAAGGCTGGGTTTATAAGGGTGGCGTCACGGGGACGCCAGTAGAAGCAAAGAGAACGAGAGTGAAAGAGAGAGCGAAAGAGAAGCAGAGACCACCGGAGAAGGCCGGAGAGCCCAGAAACAGTGAAGACTTGCTGAGGGCAGGGAGGCCTGCCAGCCCCCCGGGCCCCCCGCCTGCTGTGTGCCTGGTAAATCCCAATAAAAGCCTGAAAAGCCACTGAGGTCTCCAGGACTCCTCCTTTACTCTCATAGAGATCCTGCTCCGTGTCCTCCTGCCATTACAACCAAGGATCTCCAGGTGTGCAAGCAACACCTTGAACTAAACCCTGAAGTGGAGTCTTGCCCAGAGCCTCTTGTACCCTGCCGGTCACGGGTTTTGTGTTGCCCGGTGCGGGCCCCACAGTAGGGCCTTGTGCGGTTCTCACTAACCAGCCGAAGAGCATCAATCTCGCAGTTATCCATGAAAAGTGCTGTCAAGCGGGAACAGAGGCCGCAAGCTGCTCGGGCCCAGGGCGAGCAGACCTGGGTGAGGCGCCTGGGACCCAGGTGATGCCACTTGGGGGTTTAATGGCGCCACTCCAGGGCCGGGGCTGGTGGGCGTTCTGAGCATGCGCAGTGCCTCCCGCGGGCCCGCCCACTTCCCGCTCCCCTGGGCGGCCTGAGGCCCGTGGGCCCAGCGCTGGGCTGTGGCTGTGGGGGCCGGGCGGACGGCCCTGAGGGGCCGGCGGAGAGTCCTGAGGGGCAGGCCGGGGAGCCCTGAGGGGCAGGCGGACAGCCCTGAGGGGCAGGCCGGGGAGCCCTGAGGGGCAGGCCGGGGAGCCCTGAGGGGCAGGCCGGGGAGCCCTGGGCTGCCCTCCGGGTCCTGCGTGGCGTCCCGCGCCTGCTCTGAGCCCGCACCCTGGCCTCGCACTCTGCCAGCCGCCCAGCGCTTCTGAAGCTCCCGCCCGGGAGGCGGTTCCCAGGGCCCAGGGCCGCTCTGCAGTCCGGCTGCACCTGGCCGACCCCTTCCGGGAGACTCGGCGTCACAGCGGCCTGGAGGTAAGAACCCCGCGCCCCTCTCAGTTCAGCTTGCGCTCCGGCGGCCTGCTCCTTCCGCCTTGTCGCGGTTTGCAGATAATGCCTTTTTTACAGCTTGAATGTTCGTGGCCATCCTGCCTTGAGCTTCGACGCCCTATTTCCATACGGACGCCATTTTTCTAACATGTGCTCATTTCAGGGGCTCAGGTGGCTCAGCCAGGCCCTCAGCAGCCCCCTCTTCACTTCCTCCATTCAAGCATGTCGGCCCAGTGAGCCAGGCTCCTGGGTGCACACGGCCTTCCACGTGGCACTCGGTTTCATCCTCACCAGACTTCTTGCCCCAGGACGGCGGGGCCTGAGAGACCCGCCTAAGCCTCACAGCCGGGGCTGCAGGCGCTCCCAGAGGAGTCTCAGCTGCTTGTGCTGTGTGACGCCTACTTAAGACACATTTCTCTTTGGGGCTTGCTTGCAGTGAGGTCAGGTCACACCAGCCAAGCAGGGGCCATGGTGAAATCCATTTCTCTGGACTTGAGGTTCCCTTATAGAAAAAGTCAAAGTACCTTCATGACTTGACCTTTTAAAGTACTTTCAGCTTTGGCACAGCGTTCAGTTCTGGGAACACCATCAACAGCAGTGGGTGCTTTTCTTTTTTTGTAAGTGGGGATGTGCTCCCCAGGGAGTGTGCAGGGCACCTCGGTTTCCCGAGGGCAGGTTATTTTCTCATCCAGTGAGATCTGCATGAGCTTTGGGAGGCCCCACACCACCCAGCTGTGCCTGCCCATGAAGAGTTCTGCCTGGGCCAGACCCATTAGGGCCTGTTCCTTTTTTGCATGCCTCCTAGCTGTCCTCATTGGGCCCCGATCATTAAGTTATCACTCTACCAGCCCCTGCCACCTGCTGAGTTGGAGAGTAGGCCAGGTAGTGTTGGTCATTAGCCCCTTGGGGGCACCCAGGCTCTATCAGGGCAAATACTCCAAGAAGAAAATCACTGGTATTCCAGTGGCTTAGCCCAATTGTGCCATAAAGTTAATTTCTCACTTACACTAGTCATCAGGGGCAACCCTGCCCAGGCAGCTGATTCAGTGACTCAGGTCCCCTCCCTGCCATGACTCAGCCTCACTGTCACTCTCCTGGGGTCATCTCCTCTCCAGCCACATGGAAAGCACCAGCGTGACTCCCATGGGAGGTTTGTACAGGCCAAGCTTGCAAGGGATACGCCTCACTATTGGTCAGGACTAACCCTAGAGGCAGCTGGGTATGCCATCCAGCCGGAGGCCCTGGAGAAGAGGAATAAATTTTATGCCATGTGCAGCATAGCCCTGTTCTCAGGCTGGTGCACCCCTTCCTGAGGTCTGAGTGCATCTGCAGGATCAGGGGTGTGAGTAGAGAACCATGCTAGGACTTCTCTGATGTGCAGGTGAGGCCCCATACCGCTGGGGAGCCCAGTCTGCCTCTCAGAGTCACCAGAGGACCAGGTAAAGGTGCCAGAGGAGGGAATGGAGGCACATCAGAGCTGACCATGCCCCCAGAAATGCTGTGGATGCCCCGATGCCCAACATGCACACTTCAGGCTCAGGCCGTTCATCCTGACCCTCTGTCTGATCACTCTGCACCATACACCCAACCTTCCAGGGGATCTTAAGGCAGCTGATGCATTTGGGCACCATTCCCCTCCAGTTAAAAATAATGCTCATAAATTGAGGCCAGACCCTAGGGGACAGCAATGTTACAAGCTCATCACCTGGTGGTGTTCAAGCCTAGTTATAAAATTATACAGCACCTCTGCACCGGGGAGCCAGCGACCTACTTTGTACCTCATGGAGAGACACAAAGTGGGTGTGGCAAGGTAGAGGCCTTCGCTCTGTGTTTCAGTCCCTGACAAACCCGTGGTCTCTGGCTGATCGCTCTTCTCGAGGCCTGAAGCTCTACCCATGTGTGTTTCTTGGACTAATTCTTCAGCATGTCAGCTCCAGCCCACATTGCAACACACCCCAGCAAGGTTCTCTGTGCACCTGAGCAGGAGATTCCTGGGGCTTCTTCCAGGCTCCCCATCAGGGTGTCCATGCCCCAGAGAGAGGAAGCAGCCTTCTTGAGTCTCTGCTCCTCTCTCCACTGGGCCTCCTGCCCAGGTCTCAGCAGGATGGGGCCTGTGTCTTTGTTCTCATCACTCCTGCCTCTGTGGTCTTTTTTGGAACCTCCGGCCTCAGAGCCTTCCCTGGCTTCATTCAGAGCCTGAGGACACAGAGAAACACCTGCTCATTCTCCCTGCAGCCAGTCAACAAGTATGTATTGAGCATGCTCTATGAGGCAGCAGACCAGATGTGAGAGCTCCTCCTGAGGCTAAGCTCCTGAGTGGGTGCAGCTGCGGAGCTATAGATCTGTGTGTCTGTGGCATAGCTCATGTTACGGCATTTCCCTCTGTTGTGCTCTGCAGATACTGCATGTTTTACAAGATGAAATTTCGTGGCTACCCTGCGTTGAGCTTTGATGCCCTATTTCCATATTGACGCCATTTTTGCCAACATTGTGTACTCCATGTCTCTGCGTCATGTTTAATTAAGGGATGCACATTGTTTTTTTTTTTTTAAAGACATAGTGTTGTTGACCACTTAATAGATTACAATACAGTTTAAACATAATTTTCATATGCACTGGGAAACAAAAATTTGTGTGACTTGCTTTATTGGGACATTTCACTGTATTGTGGTGATTTGGAACCTGCACCATCTCTGAGGTGTGCCTGCATGTAGGTCTGTGTGTGTATATATGTATATGTGTGTGTATACATTTACAACATGCAATATCAAGAAAGGGAGGCGCATTATTTATGGTATGGTGTGAGGAGGGCCTGTAGCCTGGAGGTTTGACATAGTCATAGAAGTCAGGGAAGGCTGCCTGGAGGAAGTAGTAAGGTTGCGGAGGTTGAAGATGAGGAGGTATAGTCCAGGCGAGGAAGGAGCATGTGGGTTTGGAAATGGATTATGGGACAGAGCCTGTGGGAGGTCAGGTCTGCTGAGGGAGCCTGTCCTTGGGCCACTGAACTTTAGCTGCATCCATCCTGCCAAAGTGAGCAAGGGTCCGTGACCAGGCTGTGTCTCCTGGTGGTGCTCCTTCTTTAATACTCCTGTCTCCCGGCCTGGGGCACACAGTGGATGTGCAACATACCCTTGCTGGGATGAATTAAAAAACCTTCTTAAATCCTCAAGGTCACCGTATAGCTCAGAATCATCTGTCTGGTTGACATTGGCAAGAGTGGGGAGAGTGCCACATCTACCACTGCCCCTTTCAGTAATTTCAAATATACCCTTGATATTCATTTTATTTTTTTATTTTTTTTAACCAAATTGACTTTTATTTATTTTTTTATACAAGCACTGGGTACAGTCAGAAGCGCGGGAGGGTGAGAGAATTCACCAGAGCCAGAGTGGGGAGCAGAGCAGGCAGAAGGACCAAAGTACACTGCTGAGGGGAGCAGCGGGCGGCAGGAGAGGTCTGCGCGCCATGTGGGACCCTCCTCCGGTGGCCGGGGAGCAGCCGGGGATCGAATCGGTGCTGCAGAGGCTGTGGGCAGCTTCGCAACCCAGTGCTCAACTGCTGCGCCACCGGGGAGGCCCTTGATATTCATTTTTTAAAAAGATTTATTTATACAAGAACTGGGGTACAGGCCAGATGTGCGGGAGGGTGAGAGGATTCACCAGAGACAGAGTGGGGAACAGAACAGGCAGACGACCAAAATACACTGCTGAGGGGAGCAGTGGGTGAGACAGGAGAGGTCTGCCGCGCCATGTGGGAATCTCCCTGGCCGGTGGGAATGGAACCCACGTTGTGGAGGCTGCGGACAGCTTCATAGCGCGGTGCTCAACCTGCTGCACCACTGGGGAGGCCCCTGATATTCTTTTTTTAAAGAATATACTTGTTTCCTGCCATAAAGAAAGCATGAGGAGATTGTGGCAGCACATTTGATGTATTCTGAAGCTAGGCCTGAGCACTGAGATTGCCCCTGCCTGCTTGCTGCCTCCTAGCTGATTCGTCGTCTTCCATGGCAGTGTGAGCAGTATGTGGTCAGATGATACTGTTATCGAGGCTGTGTTCTCCACTGTGCTCCTTAAGGCTGGGTTTGGCCTGTGAGGCTCCAGGAGGAGCCAGTGGTGTGAGCCGACATCTGGCAGAACTGCTGGGGGATGCTCTGTACATCGTGGGTGAATGACAATAATAAGGTGATGTTGCACAAGGCAGCACAAAGCACCTCTGTCCCAAGGGACCTGTGGGTGCCCTGGGTGGCTGGCTCTCAGGTCTGGGGGTGTGAGGTCCTGCTCAGCATCAGTGCCTCCATCAGTGATGGTGCTGCCTCACCTTGACCACGGCACTCTTGTCAGCTCTGCCCTTAGCTGGGAAGGGTCCTCGCTTGTGGTGCAGCTTCTTCATGCTGCAGCTGGCCCTTATGCCTTCTCTTATTTCCAGGGCCATATCCAGTCCTGTTTGTGCCAGTACCCATCCTTCCAAACTGGGCTGGGGAAGTCTGCCTGGAGGGAGAAGCCGTCCCCAGTCCTGCCAGCTCAGGACTCCCTTAAGAACCTAGGCAGGAACTTGGAGGGATTGTCAGATCTCTGAGGGCCAGAACATGGCATTGGGAGTATGAATAAAGAGATCATTACTGATCTGGCTTTTAGCTTTTGTGGAACAATTAGAATGCAATTAGGTAAACAAATTAATTGGGCAACACTGATTAAACACTGTTTCATTTATACCCACCAAGGCACTTCCCCAATTATTTTCCTTTAAAATGGTTCTAGGACATCAGGTACTATTAATCCATTTGCCAAAAGAAGAAACTGAGTCCAAAAAGGCTGCTTGATTTCCCTTTTTTCTTGTTAGTCCTCGGCAGAGCTGTGAAGCCCTAATTACTACACACTGCTTGAGAAACCGTCTCCCCTGCCATCTACCCACATCATCGTCTCCAGGAGAGACAGGCTGATGTGACCCTGCTCCTGGAATGCTCAGCCTGAGCGGCAGTGTGACTT